TTCTCCCATAAGCTTGTCAACAACATTTATAATGATTAAGCGCAAGGTGGGAATAGGCTAACTATGATATTTTATTGGTAAAATCGCAAATACACTTTTAAACCGTATTTTTTACAGGAATTGGGGTTCCACCATTTCCATTAAAGGACTAGCATGTTAAATTTTAACCAAAATCGTTTAAGCGCTGTTTTTTTTTTTTTTGTCAAGATGCGATGTTTCCGCAGGGGTTTAAATGGGAAAATTGCAATTATCAAGTACAGTGGGAGAAGTTACAAGCTACATAACAAAGCTATATTATTCATTTCATCCATTCATCACTCAACCAATTAAAGATATATAGCGAAAACCCTACCCAATGAATGTCCTGTGCGAATAAAATCTGTTAACATATAATAAAATGCAGTTATATCTGTGGTCTATCTGCTTTGCCTCAATTTTAAATCCAATCCTTCTTAGTCAAATCAGGTGAAAAACGAATAATAAATTTCGATGACGACAAATGAGGAAAATGCACCATCTTGTATAACATGACCTTGGCATGTGATAGCATTGTAGTCTCGCGAAATTTAATCTCTTTGAAGATAACAAAGCCCGAGGGGCGTGACGAGTATTTGCATGGAGTAATGAAAACGAGAAGCAACATGAATGAGTCTAGACAGAAGCCTTGTGTACTCTGTGGCGCCGGATCATATAACAACATACACCACATCCTAGTTTAGTTAGTACATGCGCCTTGGTCTTGGCTTCAGGAAAATTTAATTTACTGATTGAACCTTTAATTAACTACTAGCATGTTATAATATTTAACTAAATTGAGAACATTTCCTCCACAGTCACGTCAAGACAAAATGAAGATTAAAAAGTAAAAAAAATTGAGAGTTTTCTATGGATGCCTATGGGAATCTTTGTCTCAAATTGGCTTTACCTATGCTTAAGTTGTTTGGCATCAATAAAGCAAAAACTAAACCATTTTATTAGACATTTAATTTTAAAGAAACAACAGGAATGGCTTGATTTGCAATTTCTACTGGTTACACAATACTGGAGAAAAGATTAAACTCCCTCTGAGTTATATTCTAGTTGCCAAAAGGCATTTTTCACCCAAACCTGAAAGTAAGGTCCACCCGAAGTTTTATGGTGTTTTCTGTTTCTTCAAGACCTACATAACTAAAATCTGCAAGGTGCCACTTTGTCACCCTTGAGCAAATTGAAATATTCAAGATGGCTTAAAAACTGTATATTTGCTGTATCTTTTCCTATAGAAGAGACAGGATAATAATTTTTGTGTCTAATTTTATGTTTTAAGGGTCAGAAAATACCAATAATTGATTATCTTAGTAATAAAAAGACCCCCGCCACAGCAAACCTGCCAACTAAGCGAATTTCCAGTTGCCTGAATTGATTTTCAATTAAATGTATTTAATTAACATTAATTTTTATGAGTACTTAGGCTTGCTGCTACAGGGAGGGTAAAAAAGTGTTTTTTTGTGTGAAATATTAATAACTTAGTATAAAATAAATAAATTTACCAAGTTTGATCAAAATATATCCATAAACAAGCAGACTACAACATTTTACAATATTCCCCATAAGAATAACATAGGAATTTTAAAATAACAATTATTTAAATTTTCTCCGTATCTAATAATGGTACAAAAACACTTTGATATACTAAATTATTTGCTTTTTTAAGCTCTTTAAGAAGGTTTGAAGAGAAATTGGAAAATTTTGCGTTTAGAGAGTCAAAAATTAGAAAAAACAATTTTTACTCCATAAAACCCCGCGTAAAACCCCGTTCCCATGGTCCGATCATGCTGGTTCTCGAACTCATTCAAGTTTATCCTGCCATACACCTTCAAACCAAATTTCATCAAAATTGTATAAAAATTACTCAAGTTATCGTGTTCACGGACACATATATGTAATTGTCTATTATGAAAAATTGAATTTTGGTATGTTTCAAAACCCCAACTTTTTCAATCAATCAATCAATCAATTTATTTATTGAACTATAATGAATACATGCATATTATACAATAGGTGCAAAAAGCATACAAGGCTTTTCTGCACCAACTTATTATGAAAAACAGTGTTCAGTGTTCTCATGCTAGGATTTTGTCAGATCTTTTTATACATTGCCCTATATGTATGAATGTATGATTCCAAATTATGTTTTAAATGTTCTCAAAGCAATTTTTCCCACCTCAAAGTGTATTTTAATCGAACTAGATGTAGTGGTGCAGCCTGCGTCACGACTAGTGTTCCAAGTTGAAGACTAATAACAATATATCCCATAATATATCTTCAAAGCAATATACAAACTGATATGAGGTTGATAATTGTTGAAAATTGTATTCAGATTCTTTTAAGAGCCACAAAATATGAATGTTCTTATCACCTGAGTTTGTATTTGCAAACATTTAAAGGTTTTACAAAAAAAATCTTCGAAATTTGCTATTGTTTCAATTTAATGCTGTCTATTTTAAATAAAACAATAATGAAATGGTATAAGGTTATTATTATCTTAAAGTAAACTTGAAGAGGAATCTATTAAGACAAACCGCAAATCGTTAAGACGATTAGTTGTCAAATAATTGATGTTTTACTAAAAGCTTACATAAATCCAATATGGCGGAAGTTTTTTCAAAAATGGCGGCTTTCCACCACTTGGATTTTCTTGATTTTTAGTATAATATTCTTGACACCTTTTTTGACAAAATCCCATATATTTTGGAATATATGGGGAAGAAATATATTTTATTTCTTTTACCTTAAGTTTGATGTTGGACCGTATTTTGACTAGCCTAAAGAACAGTGTTTTTTTCTTAATTCAAGAAAACTATAATTTAAAAAGCAGTTGATAAAGTCATTCACTGTTCCTGAAGAAGGATAATGCACTGTCCACAGTACAGCACAAGCATCAATTAGGAGAACTGCTTGTAAGTTAACTGATTTGATGACTGTGTTCTGTTTGAATGTAGCACTTATCCTCAGAAACCATAGTTATAATGTTTTAAGTCAAGTAAATACTTGAAAACATTGTTGATAAGGTAACTTTGCAACAAATTAATGTGGAAATTTATTAAAAACTTATATTGATTTATTATTTTGGGTAATTTTCTAATTAAAACATCAAACTAGGCACAAAATGATTATCCTGTCTCTTCTATAGGGAAAGATACAGCAGATATACAGGATTAGTAAACCGAACCAGCATGATCGGACCATGGGAACGGGGTTTTACGTGGGGTTTTATGGGGTAAAAATTTGTTTTTCTAATTTTTGACCCTCTAAACGCAAAATTTTCCAATTTCTCTTCAAACCTTCTTAAAGAGCTTAAAAGAACAAATAATTTAGTATATCAAAGTGTTTTTGTACCATTATTAGTTACGGAGAAAATACAAATAATTGTTATTTTAAAATTCACATGTTATTCTTGATTATATTTTATATATTAGGATATATTTTGATCAAAATTGGTAAATTTATTTATTTTATACTAAGTTATTAATATTTCACAAAAAAAAAACACTTTTTTACTCTCCCTGTAGCAGCAAGCCTAAGTACTCATAAAAATTAATGTTAATTAAATACATTTAATTGAAAATCAATTCAGGCAACTGAAAATTCGCTTAGTCGGCAGGTTTGCTGTGGCGGGGGTATTTTATTACTAAGATAATCAATTATTGGTATTCTCTGACCCTTAAAACATAAAATTAGACACAAAAATTATTATCCTGTCTCTTCTATAGGGAAAGATACAGCAAATATACAGTTTTTAAGCCATCTTGGCCGCCATCTTGAATATTTCAATTTGCTCAAGGGTGACAAAGTGGCACCTTGCAGATTTTAGTTATGTAGGTCTTGAAGAAACAGAAAACACCATAAAACTTCGGGTGGACCTTACTTCCAGGTTTTTTGACCGGCAACCAGACTATATCTGGAAATATTATCTTCAATAATTATTGTTGTTGTTGGGGTAGCAGGTTTACCTAAATGGAAAAGTCCATTCTGGAAAAAAAAGCTATGTAGTTATATAACTGAATACTGAATCGGATAGCCTTTTCATCGGGGTTTTTAAAGTCCAATCAAAAGATATGTTACTTCAAAAACTAAAACCTTCCTCTGATGTAATGTTCTAATTTTTGAGTGTAGTAAAACTTTCTTGTATTACTTTACTTAAGTGAAATTTCCAATTAAAGTAAGCTTACTAAAAAGAATTCCTTAAACCTCTGCCCTTCCCTTGTGCTATACATGACATCATAACCAGTTCAAATATAATCATTTACACAATCGAACACTTTTACAGGTAAGTTATTCAATTCACATGTATGAACTCTTTCTCTGGACAAAAATAAAGTGTTTACACAGTATTTGCCCCTGACCTGAAACCCCACGATTCACAACACTGTAGGGCTGGGGATGAATACATTGAGAGAGAAGCTATACAACCTCCTATTAGTTAGTAAATTATTCCCACTTTTTAAAATTATTCAAATTAATTTTATGACACATTCCCCTCCCCTTGTAAATAAACATTACCTTGATCACGTAGGTTATTTACCTTCTAGGTCAGTTTGTTCCATTTTTTTATACACTTTCAAAGGTCAGTTATTCTCCTCATCAGATTGTTTATACAACACCAAAGGTGACTTATCCCCCAGAACAGTTTGTTTTATACAATATCAAAAGTGATTTATCCCCCAGAACAGTTTGTTTTATACAATATCAAAAGTGATTTATCCCCAAGGTCAGTTTGTATTACAATATCAAAGGTGACTTATCCCCTAGTCAGTTTTTTAATATAAATTTTGGGTGAGTTATCCCATAGGTTACGTTTTTCATTGTATGAGTCTATTTGACATATACTTCACATATTTCTATTGAGAACTCATCAGGTCTTCTTTTGTGAGTTAGAAAACACATAGAGCAAAAACATTTGATTTATTTAAGAAATTTACTTACACACTCTACAAATAAAAATACAACAGATCACAAAATAAGGTTTAACATTATTTATTTAAGAAAAAAGTTGAAATAGTCTATTTCAAAATGTTTAAGGAATAAAAAAGACTACATTAGAACTGCCACAGTAAAGTGTTAGCAGGGTTTGTAAGTCACTAAACAGAATACAAATAAAAAAAAACACAACATAAGCTAGTTAAAAACTAGAGTCTGAATCTCAATAAAAAGTGTACCGGTATCTCCGAAATAATTATGCAAAATTTAATGAATTTGCCAGATAAATGATTAATAATTGCACTAGGTTTATTCCATCATGTTATACAGATCAATCAAATATTGAATCCAAATACACTGTAGTACTGAAACTAAAACAATTTACTTCTTAGGGTAGATCTTACAATTATTGTTGCTTGCCCTTTAATCGTAGTGAATAGGTTTCTTTAATTGAAATAGTTTGAAAGGTAGTTAAATAACCAGGAAGGAATTGTAAACAATCAACACCTTAATCCAGACTGACACACAACTTAAAATCCTGTAGCTGATCTACAAGGGCAATGATTTAAAAGACAAAAAATGGTAAGACGATTTTAACATGAGATCTCAATGGAAACTATTTTAATGGCAGGTCTGTGTAATTTTATCTTTGGGTATGCTCAAATAACCAAGAATGTAGTTTACAAATCTAAAATAGCTCATTTAAATCCAGATAGCACACCTACATCCTTGGACAGCTAATGTTGTATTGTGTATCTGTATTTAGCCTGAGACCCTATTATTAACACACTAAATATAGATTGACCGCATTGCTGTTTAAGGCTGAATGAGATATGACATTTATGTTGGTATTTATATAAGAAATCAAAATCAAATGCATTACTTTACTTTCTTCCTAAATTAGAGGATTTGGCAATGTTACACATTAAAGATTGAAAAGTTATGTTTAGTTTGGATACTAAAATCTTTTTGTTAACCAGCATTATAGCTCTATATTTTATAGAAACTGCTTCCCAATCTGGAAAATTAATTAAAACAAGGAATTTCAATAGAGATGTTTAACCTAAAAAAGTATATCCCACTCACTCAATGTAAATAGGATCATTTTTAGTTTATAATATCACTGTAATGAACCTTAACTATTATATACAGTACTAGTACTGTAAAAATCTTAAAATATCAAAAGCTATACAGTATTGAACAAGTATGAATTAACGGTATTAACAATATATACATTACATTTCTCTTATGTACAAAAACCTTAAATAAAAGAAACTTTACAAAATCTACAAATACAAAATTTCAAGTGGGTTTCAAGTTCAACGATAACATCTCATTGAGAATGTCGAGAGTTTTTAACTGAAAAATCACTTTTTGGGAGTTCGTCATGACTTCAAGATCTGGCAACAAGCACAGTATAAAAATTAAATCTTTACTATCAAACCCATTTCTCAAGTTTTCGCACTTGAAAGCTTCTTTGATGAAAGGCGGTGCTCCATCTAGGTATTCTTCCAGCTCCTCTTCTTTACTCTTCGTTCTCTTTATTATTTGATCTTGAACATTGCATTTCTTACTATCCAACTGGTTACTTAACATACTAATTGATTGCATTACAGCATTAGCCGGCAAAGAAACCGGAGGTTTAAATAATACCTTTTTGCCATGGCATAATTGAGAAAAACCCTCAGCGTTAGCCATAATAACATTTGCATTATGTCTAACACTGTCATGTTTGAGTGATTTACAATCCAAATTTGAACCTGATTGTATTTGTTCATGGCTTATATGAGCACTAACAGACTTACATGTAGTTGCTTTGCCCGTATTGTAAGTGTTCAAATTTGTTTGTGTGCCTTTTGCCTGCTTTCTTGCTAAACCAACATTCATATGACTCAAATCACTTCTAGAACAAACTGTGTTTGTAACATTTGAGACAAGTTCACTTAGATTCTTGATCGAATCACTAGTCTGACAAGATTTTCGTCTTTTTGGAGGAGTTGGCTTGTCCGAATCAGGAAATGTTGTAGAAATTTCAGGATCAGATTCGGACACAAATAGAACTTTCCCGATATTTGCATTTTTCTGAGAGAGTAAACCCTGGTTAACTGTATCTGGATGCTCCCTTTTTGCATTTTGATTCAAAACATGTTTATTTTTCTCAAAGGTGGAAGATGAGCCTCCATTGGGGTTTATGGGTTCAAGCGTTAGTAATTGCTGACTATTTGTGGAGTTTGGTAACTGAGTAGTAGACTGAAGCTTGCCTGTGAGTTTGGACGGAATAGTTATGTAGCCAGTCATTGATTGACTGTTTGTAGGTTTATTCACTTCTACATTGTAGGCAGAAGCAGTTGACGGATTGAGAGGAACAATATGTTCACCATCCCTTACAAACAGAGGAGACAATACAAAGTTTAAAGCTAAAACAGGATCACCATTTACATTTGAAAAATGCTTTTTTGACAAATGCTCTTGTTGTAAGCTTGAATTGGTTAAAGGTACTTTGGGTTTTGGCAGGATAAGTTTATTTTTTTTCTCACATGAAACGGTGGTCTTTGTTGGCTGAGGCGAATCGAGGATCCTGTGTAAGATAGAGCTCTTAGAAAAACTAGTTGGTAATGAACTGGAGAAATCTTTGCTGTTCGGCTCTTTCAAACATTGCTTTTGAACATTAGTATCAAGACATTGAGAATCTAATGAATTTTCTGAAGATTTACTTAATCCCTTCAGATTAGGGGTAATAGGAATGCAAGATACATCATAACCTATCATTGTAGGCTTATGAATGCTGCCAATTCCTGATTTATCAATGGAAAACTGATTTAACTGCTTTTGGTCAAGAGGTAGCTGATTTAACTGATTTTGATCGAGAGGTAGTAATAAAATAGATGTTGTGGAGGACTTAAAACTCTTAGGATCTTTGAACTTTTCACTGGAAAATTTATCTACTTGCTTCATATCATGAGGTGAAGCAATGGAAGATAAACCAACATCTTCAGGATAATGTTTGTTTTCTGATGACCTTTTTGAAGGTTGACCTATTGGAGTATTTCCTTTTTGGACAGTAAACCTCTGATCATTGGACACTTCTGATTTATCAACCAACTGATTTAAACCCTTCGAATTGTGAGGTGGTGACAAGAGTGGAGTAGAGGAAAGGTTGTCGTCTTCATCATCATCAATCACAATTACTTCAATGTTGTAGTTGTGTTCTTTTGAGATTTCTTTCTTATTCATGGATCGATTCAAATTGTGGGATTGGTGTGAGAGAGGAGGAAAGGGAACTTTGTCATCATCTTTACCACCAGCCAAGCTGGGTTTTGTATGTTTTGCGTAGCTTTTATCATTTTGTTTCTTTGAAACTTCTTTTTTACCCACCGGTCGATTCAAATTTTTCGAATTATGAGCTAGATGTGATAGAGGAATGGTAGAAACCTTGTCATCTTCATCATCAGTAATGCTTGATTCTTTCTGCTGTGTGTCCCTTTCAATGGATTGTTTCTTCGAGACTTCTTTCTTACTCACCGATCGATTCAAATTGTGAGATAGGTGTGAGAGAGGAATAATAGAAGCTATGTCATCTTCATCATCATCAGTCATGCTCAATTCTTTACGTTGTTTGTTCCTTTCAATCGTTAGATTTTTTGAGATTTCTTTCTTATCCACCGATTGATTTAAATTTTTAGCTAGATGTGAGAGAGGAATAATAGAAGCAATGTCATCTTCATCATCATCAGTCATACTGGGTTTTTTATGTTGTCTATCCCTTTCATTGGTTTTTTTCTTTGAGCCTCCCTTTTTATCTACTGATCGATTCCAATTGTGAGCTGGATCTGAGAGAGGAATGGAAGAATCACTATTATCTCCATCACCGTCAGTCATACTGTAATTATGTTCCATTGCAGGTGATGCTAAAAACACCTTTTTATGAGGTGAGCTCAATTTTGGAGTCTTGGCAGGTGGAGTTAGTTTCAACTGAGAAAAGTATTCCCTTGAATGTACGATAACATTTGTACGATTTGCTGCATCAATTGCTGATTTTGGTGTTGAATCACTTTTACTTGTAGGTTCAGGGTTCTTGAAAATATAGTTTTTCAATTCAGGCAGTTCAGTTTTACAGCAGTCTACAAGAGAAACAATGGGATTAGATATTCTAGCTAATGTCTCTAATGAGGTTGTATTAGACAAATCCGTACCTTTCTGTGTGTTTTCAGAAGCTACACCATCACTTATTTTGCCTACAGAAATTGATGAACTGGTTGTTTGATTCTGTTCCCCAATTATATCCTTTTTTGGCGACATCTTTAACGGATTGACTAACCATGTGCTAGCTCCAGATATGCTCTTCCCTTTGAAATGCTTTCTATTTAATGATTCTTGCTTTTCAATCTTGGATTGTTTGCAGTTTTTTTGTTTGTATTCGTTAATTTTTCTTCTAAATTGAAACTTATCTTTAGAAACTGGATTTTCATCAGAACATTCATTTTTTCTTTTTGACGTGTTTACTTTTTTCCTTGATTCGGTAAAATTTCTAACATTCCTGGATTTTAGAGAGGTCAAATTTGATATAGAACTATCTTTACCAATGGTTTCATTAAATATATCTGATGTTTGTAGGATTTTATTATTTTCTTTTTTCATATTACGCATAATCCTTTTGTAATGTTTAGGTCTTTCTACTGTTTTTTTATAAGGAAAAACATAGTTTTTAGCATTAGTTTTTCTTAAATTAAAGGTTCTACTAACTTGTATTGATTTTATATCTTCTTTTGATTTTTTCTTTGTTACTTCTTTTTTTACAACAGTAGATTTTGCAGTATTCTCTTCAATGGCTTCTTTATCTTCAAACTGACATGACTTTTCTCTTGTGAATTCCTCGGATATTTGATGAATTAATTGCTTTCGTGATTCTTTTAATGTACCCTCTTTTCCTTCTTGGTCTTTTGATAATTGTGTGTGTTTTTCATGATCATCTTTCTCAGCTACATTTTGTTTAGCCTGCAGGGACGCTTGAGTAATTAGTTTGCCTAGTCTACAATTGACCAGATCCCTTTCTTTATCTTCAATCTGACATTTTTTTTCTCTTGCAAATTTCTTGAATATTTGATGAATTAATTGCTTTCCTGATTCTTTTAATATATCCTCTTTTCCTTCTTGGTCTTTGGTTAGTTGTGAGTGTTTTTCATAATCGTCTTTCTTACCTACATTTTGTTTAGCTTCCAGGGGCGTTTGAGTAATTAGTTTGCCTAGTCTACAATTGACCAGATCCCTTTCTTTATCTTCAAACCGACATGTTTTTTCTCCAGTAAATTCCTTGGATATGTGTTGAACTAATTGCTTTCCTGATTCTTTTGACATGTCCTCTTTTCCTCCTTGGTCTTTTGATGGTTGTGAGTGTTTTTCATGATCATCTTTCTCAGCTACATTTTGTTTAGCTTGCAGGGACGCTTGAGTGATTAGTTTGCCTAGTCTACAATTGACCAGGTCCCTCCGCATCTGTTCAAATTTACTTTCCTGAGGTGGTTGTTCTTTACATAAAATTTCTTCTTTCTTTGTGCATTGTGTGTTCTCTGTTGTTACCTTTTGGGAAGCAAGTGGACATTTTGTAATAGATAAGTTCTCAAATGTGCAATTGGTCATAGGTTGATTCGTAGAAACTTGTTTCGGTATACTTTTCCCTACTGATTGACTACTGTTTGGTAAACGTTCATCTGAAACACAGGACTTGCTTCCTGTACTTTGTTCAACTTTTACTCCTTGTTTTCGTGATTTTGGAGGCCTATCTATTCGTGTAGATTTGTGAATGAAAAGATCATTCATTGCTTGATTTGTAGAAACTTGTTTTGGTATACTTTTCTCAACTGATTGACTAGTGTTTGATAAAGGTTTATCAGAAACACAAGACTTGCTTTCTGTATTTTGTTCAACATTTACACCTTGTTTCTGGGAATTTGGAGGCCTATCTATTCGTTTAGATTGATGAATGAAAGTATCATTCATTGCTTGATTTGTAGAAAATTCTTGTGGTCTACTTTTCTCAACTGATTGACTAGCGTTTGGAGAACCTTCATCAGAAACACAAGACTTGCTTCCAGTATTTTGTTCAACTTTTACACCTTGTTTCTGGGATTTTGGAGGCCTACCTCTTCGTTTAGATTGATGAATTGAAGGTTCATTCATTGCTTGATTCGTAGAAACTTCTTCCGGTATACCTTTCCCAGGTGATTGACTAGTGTTTGGATAACGTTCGTTAGAAACACAAGACTTGCTTCCAGTATTTTGTTCAACTTTTACACCTTGTTTCTGGGATTTTGGAGGCCTACCTCTTCGTTTAGATTGAGAAATTGAAGGTTCATTCATTGCTTGATTCGTAGAAACTTCTTCCGGTATTCTTTTTCTAGGTGATTGACTAGTGTTTGGATAATGTTCATCAGAAACACAAGACTTGCTTCCAGTATTTTGTTCAACTTTTACACCTTGTTTCTGGGATTTTGGAGGCCTACCTCTTCGTTTAGATTGATGAATTGAAGGTTCATTCATTGCTTGATTCTTAGAAACTTCTTTCGGTATACTATTCCCAGGTGATTGACTAGTGTTTGGAGAACATTCATCAGAAACACAAGACTTGCTTCCAGTATCTTGTTCAACTTTTACACCTTGTTTCTGTGATTTAGGAGGGCTACATTTTTGTTTAGGTCGATGAATAGAAGGATCACTTTTAGTTGGTTCGACACTTAACTCTTTTGCTCTAGGCATGACTACAGAAAGAGGTTTTAACATGATCGAGTTGCTGGAAGAATAACTAAAATTCGAAATTGAAGTTCCTTTACTGAAAACATCGAGAATAATTGGGGTTACCTCTTCATAGTTTGTTGTTGGATTTGGGCTTGAAAACACATTTGGGCAATCAACATGACTTTCCTCAATATTACAATCAGGCAAGGAAGTATCTTGATCATCTGATAAAGAGCTCTGAGGAAGCTCATTGTCAAATATGTGAATACTACCTTCGCTGAAACCATCTTGTGATGCATCTAAAGCTGCATTTGACTCAAGTTCAGAAGTGTTTTTGGTATCTAGTAAATTGTTTTTTGTTGCTAATTTGTCCTCCAGATTCCCATATTCAACAGAATCATTAATCATAAAAATTTCCTTTTTATTCTCTGAGGTCATGACTTTTTTAAGTTTTTGATTTTTGCCAAAATTTTGTGGAGAGCTGACTAACGCTATTTCTGCATCATTTGCAAGATTTAGAGAATTATTAAGTGACGATTCTTCCTCTTTGCTTCTGATTTCCACTTGGTATTTGATGTTTTTAAATAACACAACCATTTCTGATTCTGATGTTCCTTTTGTAGAATCAACAGTTGAGTCTTCTTCTGGTTTACCAATATCTCTGGAATCTTTTCCTAACTCATCATTTCTCAATTTCTTTGTCTTTTCATGCTCACCTTTCTCTTTTTCCTCAGTTACCGGAACATTTTCGGTTTCTTCTACTTTCCTGTTGGCATTGAAAAAAGTAGAGTCTTCTTCTTTGCTGAGTTGATTCTGAGTAAAAATTAATCTTCTTTCTATTTCCTCTTTATCCAAAACTTCACTTACCATCTCTTCTTCTCCAGATATCCTTTCATGTTGACGTGTGGAATCCGATTCTGATTTCAAGCCAAGTGCTTTACGGTCAATAAGCGAAATATCAGCTTTAGATTCGTTCGTTGACTCTCCTTGAAGCTCACTTAGATGAGTTGGAGGAATTTCGACATCCAGTTTGATCTCCAAAACACCTGAAAATAAACACAATAAATAACGTTTTTGCCACCCTACACAGTAAGCAGCGTTTCTTTACTTTTTATAAACCAGAAAGTGGATGTTTACAATCATGTAATAAATCAAAATACCCCCGCCGCAGCAAACATGCCGACTAAGCGAATTTTTATTTGCCTAAATGTATTTAATTAACATTAGGTTTTACGAGTACCTAGGATTGCTGCTACACTGCTACAGGGAGAGTAAAAAAGTGTGTTTTTTAGTAAAATATTTTACAATATTCTCCATAAGAAAAACATAGGAATTTTAAAATAACAATTTTTTGAAATTTTCTCCGTAACCAATGATTGTACAAAACACTTTGATATACTGAATTATTCGTTTTTTTTATGCTCTCAGGCCCCCAAGTGGTTTTTGACCTCAAAAAAGTAGGAAAAGTAGGACTTTTTCAGCAAAAAGTAGGACTTTTTACTGAAAAGTAGGACTTAATTTTACATACAAATCGAACTTTTTTGCTGATACAATATATATTAAAAACCAAATAATACTAGCATACACAATAGTTTATCAAATATAATAGTGTATATAAATATACAGGGTGTTTCCAAATTGTCTGGACATATTTTGTGGACTTGTTTCTGGGGCTAAGACAAACATAAAATTCTATATAAGTATGCATGGGTCTAAAATGCCTAAATTTTTGTTGGTCGGTCTGTTTGTGACATTTAAAAATTATTTTATATCTTGGGCATTTTTCAAGATAGAACTTTTAAAATGGTTATAAATGTGTATTTTAGAAGGTGAAAAGAGCTTGCAAAGTTTCGATCCAATATCTCAAGCCGTTTCAATATGGCAGTCATTTAAAATCTTTAATGCCAAATTTCATGAAAACCGTAAATATTTAGAAAATGGTTTCCAGGATCAAAAAGATAGAGAATTCAAATCCAAATCAAATGAGACCTTGTTTGTAAAATCGGATGACAAACAACCATAAATAAGTTTTTTTTCAACATTCGGTTACGCAATTTAATAGCACTACCATACTGTATTTTTATTTGTTATTTTTCAGAGCAGTATGGGTAGTCCTATTAGGTTGCGTAAACAAATTTATAAAAAAACTGATTTGGTTGTTTGTCATCAGATTTAAAAAAAAACAAGGTCTCATTTGATTTGTATTTGAATTCTCTATCTTTTTGATCCAGGAAACTATATTCTACATATTTACGGTTTCAAATTAAATTTGGCATTAAATATTTTAAATGGCTGCCATATTGAAACGGCTTGAGATATTGGATCAAAATTTTGCAAGCTCTTATCACCTTCTAAAATACACATTTATATCCATTTTAAAAGTTCTATCTTGAAAAATGCCCAAGATATAAAATAATTCTTAAAAATCACAAACAGACCGACAAATTAAAATCTAGGCATTTTAGACCCATACTTATATGGAATTTTATGTTTGTCTTAAGCTGGGTCCTAGACGCGGAAGCGGAGAGAGGAACGCGGAGAGCGGAAAAGAAATTAACATGGTGTTCCGCTCCGCTTCTAGGAAAACAGAAACATTAAATTACCTAAGACAAGTGGAGTCCGCTCTCCGCTTCCGCGCCTAGGAAAACCCGGCTTTAGCCCAAGAAAGAAGTCCACAAAATATGTCCAGACAATTTGGAAACATAACTAAAATAATTCTATATATAAATTTTAAAATTAAAATCAATAATTAATTATTTTTATTTAAAAAATCTTCAACTAAAAGGCCGGATATAGTTTTAGCTGAGATTGTACACCAAATATTCAGAAGTAACGCACAAGAGAAATTAAAATGTTAAGGAGTCATTATCTACAGTCATCACAAAAAAATATTTAGGACAAGCAGCATTAAATAAAGGATAGAAATAAATATGTTTCCCTAACGTTAACCAGCCCTAATTTGTGTTTAAAATGGTGTTATAAATAAGAAATTTGTTCTTTTTTTATATTATTTAATATTTCAGAACTAAAATTAATATAAAAGTAAAATGAATTTTTTTGGGTGGAAAACAGAAGCATGAATAGTTATTTAAGTAGGCCTATAAAGTACGGAACTAGATATAATATAAAATTCTAAAAATATGTTCCATAAGTATTTTGAATTAGTTAGATTAGAGCAATCTTAAAAGTAGTAGGAATGTTTGAATTGTAATGAGTAAAAACTATTTGAGCCAGTGAAACTTGGACATTTAAACTTAAACTTAAGCCTTAATTTATTTTGAATACAGTTATGTCAAAAAATCATGTTTAGGCTAATCAGGGAAACACTGGACCGATAAGTGCTAAAGTAAACTACTTTTGAACTAGTATCCCAGGGCTCCCCAGGAGCATTGATTTCCCCTCAGTTCACTTCATTGGGGAATCTATAGTTCGGCCGCTTAGAAAGCGACCTCCTCCAGCATTGGTTTAGCATTAGCACGCAGGTCGTTTTCTAAGCGGCCGAACCATAAAAGACATGTCAGAATAGTAAGCACTGATAATAATCACAATTTTTATTTTCTATCACAATAGTATTGCCATGTCTTTGAAAATAAAAATGTTTTCACCCAATAACAATGTTGATAAGATTAACCATACAGATACTACGGTACTGGAACATATAAATTTAAAATTTAAAATCATTTAACAAATTGTTTTATAAAAAAATTATCTCAGTCAGTCATATTTTTTAGGAAAAAACTTCTCATTGGGAAATATTGATAAGTAAACATTAATAAGTGTAATAAAATATCGCAAAATCGACATAATTTTTATAAAAAAGTAGGAAAGTAGGACAAATGTGTAAAAAGTAGGACTTTTCCTACTTTCCTACTAAAAAGTAGGAAAAGTAGGACGACTTGGAGGCCTGTGCTCTTTAAAAAGGTCTGGAGAGAAAATGGGAAATTTTGTGTTGAGAGGGTCAAATATAAGAAAAACCAATTTTTATCCCATAAAACCCCCCCATTCCCATGGTCCGATCATGCTGGTTCGCGAACTCATTCAATCTTATCCCACCTTACACATTCAAACCAAATTTCATGAAAATCGGACAAAAATTACTCAAGTTATCGTGTTCACGGACACACATATATATATACAAAATTGGACGAATGGTGTTTAGGCCGCGGCTCCACTTGCCGTAGATTACCGCGCTGCAAATTGTAGCTGGTCAGTTGAGGAAATGGGAAGGCAGCGATCAAACGAAGGTGGCTCCACTAGCGACAGTCTGCAGCGCGCTACATTTTACGGCGCGCCGTAGAATGTAGCGTCGCGCGGGAATGGAACTCGGACCATTTTCGCGCTACATTTTGCAGCCAACAGGCGGCTCCACTAGCTGTAGATTGTAGTGCCGCGTCAAGTCAGTGTACGTAGTAGACACACGCTACAATCAGTATAGACCTTTTAGTGTCCTTATTTTTTTTTATTTTTTTGTGGATTGGTTTGTAATCAATGGAGTCTGAACTGGACTGTGAAATTATTATATTAGAAATTATTAAATTATTACATTGGGAGTGTGGGAATCTTGTTTTATAGAGGTTGTGTAGGTGTTTCCTACTTTATATTATAAAGTAATACAGTAGTGATTGGAGAAACGAATACGCGAAAACATTCAATTTGTTTTTAAATGCAGCAGTCGTACAATTGTTACGATTATTAGCCCTATAAAAAGCTCCTAATGGCTGTTTTAGATTGTTATTAATAGGTACAACAAAAATTCACGAAACTCATTGATGTTCACCTTACATTGGTTACTTAGAAATATTACTTCTGAGGGTAAATGAGTGTAATAAAATTCAAATAGAATAAAAATATAGATAAAATGACCATTAAAGTAGAGTAATTTGATACACCAAGGATTGTTGAAGCAAGGGTTCACTGTTTAAAATTAATTAGTAAAAATTCAGTACACTAAAATTACCTTAATGTCACTGAAAGCCTTTCCTCTACTCCAATTGGTTCTCTTAGTTTGGTATCCTTCTTCTTCAAACGTGTTGATACTGATTCTATTAAGTAATCAAATGAGTTTTGGGACATTCGATAAAATTCAAAAAAACATGCCTGAACACTTTTGTAGTTTAGTATGCAATGTGTGGAACATTCCTTCGGACTTTCCGTTGCTTAATATTGGATGGATCAACCTTTTCCTGCTGTGTTCGGCGTCATCTTGGTCTTGATAAAGTACACTGATAACATCACTACGAATGTTAATTTGCGGCATGATCCAGGGTCACATTTACCTTCGCGCTACACTAAACTGCTAGTGGAGCCACGGTGCATGTGAGAGGACGCTGCAGATTGTAGTTCGTACTCTGCTGCTAGTGGAGCCATCCAACATCAAAATGAAAAAGTAAATCGATCCTGGGCCTAGGTCTTACCATGCCACCTACGGTAATAGCTACTTCCCTATAGGGAAATTCGCTAATAGACTTCAACTTTAAAACCAAACATTTTGTCTAAAAATGGAATTCCCTTATACATTAAATTAGTACCAATACAATTCTACAATGTAAAAATGATAAAAGAGATAAAAAAGAAAAAACAAATTTATTAAGAAATTAAAAATGTAAATTAAAAATGCATTTAAGAAGAAAATATACAAAAAAAGGTAAACATTACGATTTTTAGACTTAAGTCACAGCTAAATAAGAATGGGATAGCTAAGGTTCCTTGCACACTACACTATTTCGCCCATCTGAGAAAAATCTGACAGGCAAATATTTGTAGTTACAAACCAGGCCAGATTATTACCCGTTTAACACCCGGCTGGTGCCACTATAGAGGTCAGCTCCCAGCAAGGATAAAACCAGGTCTCCAGCTAAGTGGACTACGAGATAAATGGACGTTTCCACACTAAATTGGCTTATGGGTTTTAGTTGTCCGGGAACCATCCTCACGTGCAGGTTGTTATGTGTAGTTTTGATTTTGATTAAATGATTTCGCTATTAAGTTAAATATAAACTACTTAGTTATTGGCTGAATTTTTTATAGACCCATGAAATTGTGTATCATGTAATTGTATTGTAAGGTGTCAAGTGTCTATGTAGAAGAATCCAATAGATGGACTCAGTATTCTTAAACCGTAGTAAGTTGTCAATCGCAAAGATGGTAATATGATATATCGCTCTTATTTAAAATAATTTGCGCAGCCTACATAGAACAACGGTTTTCCCAATGTTGTGACCCAATAAACCAACACAATAGTTATCCTCTACAAGTTAATTGTTTGCCAAGTCCATCAATCATCAATCAAATAAACATTATCAGCAAACAAACACATGCTGTCTCCTATTAGCGTTTGATTAAACGCTGGGAGCAACTATAATATTTTACCAGTGGCCATAAATCACAAAAATGCATAACTTATGATCCTTAATTTTTACGGAATCAGGGGTTGTACCTTGGGTTGCCAACTAAGGTTAGGAAAAAATCAGGTAGGGCTTCCTCCTCCAAGGGTAAACACTGACAAAAAACAAATTATTTTAAAAACTCTAAATGAGCATGACAGCAACATTGTTATTAATGTCTCTTACTCTTTCTTGCAATCACAGTGACATTGTGATCATTTCTACTGTTGCCATCAATCATTGATTGTATCCCACGATATAGTGGCAACATCTGTCAAATCTTTTCGTACTACCATTGGAACATAATGATTAATGACACCTATATGCTATTGCTTTTGAAAGTTTCCTAGTTCATACAAAATATTGGTGCAATTTGGACCTAATTTCTTGTCAAAATTCACACACGATTCTCGGTTTTTAAGGTTGCCTGATACCTTGTTTAAGAAAAGTTAAACTTAAAAAGTTATCTGTAAATAATTACCTGTTTCACAGTCAACACCTGAACTAGAAGCTTGTGGTTCATCAATTACGTCTCTTGTTGGATGCATGGGAAGATTTTCCAAGACTGAAGGAATCTTTGTATCTCTGCCAGAACTATCCTGCCTAACCCCTGCAGTAACGTCTCTTGATGGATGCATGGGCAGATTATCCGAGACAGAGGGAATCTTTGTATCTCGATCAGAACTGTCCTGCGTAACCCCTGCAGTAATGTCTCTTGATGGATGCATGGGAAGATTATCCGAGACTGAAGGAATCTTTGTATCTCGGTCAGAAATATCCTGTGTAACCCCTGCTGGAACGTCCTCTGATGGATGCATGGTCAGATTATCCGAGACTGAGAGAGTCTTGGTATCTCGGTCAGAAATATCCTGCGTAACCCCTGCAGGAACGTCCTCTGATGGATGCATGGTCAGATTATCCGAGACTGAGAGAGTCTTGGTATCTCGGTCAGAAATATCCTGCGTAACCCCTGCAGGAACGTCCTCTGATGGATGCATGGTCAGATCATCCGAGACTGAGAGAGTCTTGGTATCTCGGTCAGAACTATTCGGCGAAACCCCTGCAATCAAATCAAAGTTGTATAATGCATGACCCAAAAGATATGTACAGGTATTGAGTCAACTAGTCTAGGATGGAAGGTATACAACCAAATAAGGTTTGAAAATATAGTTTGGAATGAAATCCAGTTATAATCATCAAAAATCTGTTTAAGTAACTACTTGATTAAACGTAGGACTATTCTAAGAATCCTATTTAAAAATTTTGAATTAGATTGCAGATTTATTACATCGAATATGAAATCTATTAGACTATGAACATGTATACTGAAATAATTTTTATTTACTTTATTTTAAACTGTTCAAAATCTTATATTTTTAAAATTGTAAACAAGAATGACAGCAACATTGTGATCATCTACCACCATCACAGAAACACCCATGAAGGTCTCTTGCTCTTTCTCCAAGTCGCTGTCACGGTGACATCATGATCATTCTTACTGTTGCCGCCAACATCTTTGATTGTCTTTCACAACCATGGATACATCTTTGAACCCCCAAGACCATGATTTATAAACAACCAAGGGGATGGATTACGGATATATGCAATAGCCCCATTTCCTGGACCCATACAAAACTTAAGCTGTACCATGGATCTGTGGCTGGATACCATGGATAAGAAAAGTTAAACTTAATTAATTATCTGTATTTAATCACCTGTTTCACAGTCACCAACTGAACTAGAAGCTTGTGGTTCATGAGTAACATCTCTTGATCGAAGCATGGGTAGATTATCCGAGACTGAGGGAATTTTTGTATCTCCGTCAGAACTATCCGGCGTAACCCCTGCAATCAAATAAAAGTTGATTGCTATAAATCATGAGAACAGAAATGTGCAGGTATTGAGGCTACAAACATACAGACAGCGTAGCGTAGCGCAACGTAGCGTATCCAAGCGCAGCTAAGTCCAAGAACTTTTTTTAAGTATGTAAAAAAAAACTTAAACTGTTACTAATTGATAGAGCATTTTACTCATTTGAAGAGTTTTACAACATGTAATTACATTAATTAGATTTTCCTTTTTTATTTAGTTTAACCAAGTATTTTTAATTAGTAATAAGCTGTTTTGACGCCATTCTGTATTTATGCATATATTTCATGTAGGTATATAATGTATAAATCTTGAATAAAGCTTTTCTGATTCTGATTCCAATACACACAGAGGATTGTAGGTTGTAGACGATCTTAATAAGGTACATCAGTAGACAATGGCTCTGTCGAAGACGGCTCGTATTAGTCGTGTCGAAAATACCTCAAGGTGGCAGTTTATGATCAGTAGGAGAAGTGTCGGGGTGCATGAAGTGTGGAAAGGCAGGGACAAACATGGTGAATATCACCAACTATTTCCAATCCTTAGGAAACACGAGTCTCGGTTTATGGATTACACAAGAATGTCCACTACAACGTTCGATTACATGGTTTGGTGAAGGATGATTGGGAGAAGCTGACAATAAATTGGGGGAGACCAATTGGTGCAGAAAAGAGACTAGTATTAACTTTAAGCCTGTCTGCAGTTGAATGCGCTCCAATACGCTCTGAGAAAAAATAAATAGTTTGTTCCTCGGTCGTACGCTGTGCTGCGCTACGCCGAAATACGCTACTAGTATGTCATACCTCATTTCAATGCACGATTTTGATATAAAACATGCGTTGCGCTAAGCTACGCTGCGCTACTCTACGCTGTATGTATGTTTTTACACTAAGATGGAAGGTTTACAAACAAATAAGGTTGTGAAAATATAGATTGAAATCTTAATTTATTTTGCAAAAAAAGTATGTATGTACATCAACCATTGCAGTGACACAAATTAAGGGATAAAATGGAATTTCAAACTTTAGCACAAACAAGTCCCATTTTGTGAGAGTGCCAAATTTTAAGGCACACAAATCATTTGTCTGTTCTATGTCGATAACATTTCTTTTTGATACTTCTTGTCTCTCACAATAGTAGCAACATCTGAGATCCCCCAAGACCATGGTGACACCATAATTTATAAAAAAAAAAAAAAAAAAAAATGGAATCTAAATAACTATACAGCCCGATGTGTAACTCACTCACTCAATGGGGATACTAATTCTAGACCACTTCTAGATGAGCTAGAGATCTGAAATTTGGCACACTTGTAGGTCTTGGGCCCAAACCCACGGGAAAATCCTAAAAAGTCGCATTTTTTTACATTAACCCCCCCCGTAATCTCGAATTTCCCCCCCTTGTTATTCTTATGGGAAATAACATTGAAAATTCCCGACTTTGGTATGGTCATATGAATCGTTTAGAAACGTGCTAGAGACTTCAAATTTGCGTAGTATTGTAGTAAGAGACCTTACATTACCGGTGGAATATGCAAAAGTCCCATTTTCAAATTTTAACCCACCCAAAAATCCAAAATGGCGGACCTCTGAAAACGAAAAAAACACTTTTTTTTCAACCGGATGTAGCTCGAAAACAGTAAGAGCTAGAAAAGATTTGAGAGTATATCCAGGAACAGGAATTAAATTTTATACAAAACCCTGTTAGGCGTTTTCCAAAAATCGCACTCCTTCAGCTTCAAAAAACGCCCTACTTTCAAAATTTGGTAAATTTTTATTAAATTTTTACCGGTTTTCGCCATGTTTTCATACTTAAATAATTTATTTTTTCAAAAATTATTATTGCTTTGCATTCTCCTTACTTTATTTTAAATTTTACTCATTACATGTTTTTTCGTAACTTTACTCCTTGACCCCAAAACTTAATTTTAATCTCAAAATTTGAAGGTTTTTTGCCACTTTTACGAGCCCCGTGTTATTCTTATGGAGAATAAGATTGAAATATAATGACTTTGGTATGGTCATATGAATCGTTTAGAAATGTGCTAGAGACTTGTAATTAACCCACCCAAAAATCCAAAACGGCGGACCTCTGAAAACGAAAAAACACTTTTTTTTCAACCGGATGTAGCTCGAAAACGGTAAGAGCTAGAAAAGATTTGACAGTATATCCAGGAACAGGAATTAAATTTTCTACAAAACCCTCTTAGGCGTTTTCAGAAAATCGCACTCCTTAAGCTTCAAAAAACGCCCTACTTTCAAAATTTTGTAAATTTTTTTCAAATTTTTATCGGTTTTTGCTATGTTTTCGTACCTAAATAATTATTTTTTGCAAATATTATTAATGTTTCGTATTCTCCTTAGTTTACTTTACATTTCACCCTTTACATGTATTTTCGTAACTTTACTCCTTGACCCCCAAAAACTTAATTTTAATGTGAAAATTTGATTGGTTTTTACCGGTTTTACCAGCCCCATGTTATCCTTATGGAGAATAGCTATGTAATTTTAATACTTTGGTATGCTCATCTGATTAGTTTAGAAACGTTCTAAAGACTTTAAATTTTTGTAGTATTGCAGTATGGGATCATCCGTTAATGGTGGAATTTGCAAAAATGCCTTTTAAAAATTTTAACCCCCAAAAAAATCCAAAATGGTAGACGTATAAAAACGAAAAAACACGGTTTTTAATACCGACTATAACTAAAAAACGGTAATAGCTAGCAAAAATTTGAAAGAATCTTCATGAACAGGAATTAAATTTCCTACAAGACACTATTACGCGTTTTTAGAAAATCGCACTCCTTCACCTAAAAAAAACGCCCTACTTTCAAAATTTGGTAAATTTTCTTCAAATTTTTAACAGTTTTTGATAATTTTTCGTACATAAAAAATTTTTTCTTCAAATATTATTAATGTTTCGTACTCTCCTTAGTTTACTCTACATTTCACCCTTCACATGTTTTTTCGTAACTTTACTCCTTGACCCCCAAAACGCGTAGGTCAGTAACGCTGTATAGTCATTTGGTTCTCGCTCTAATTTTTGCTAATGGATTTGGCTACCCATGATTAAGTTTCACTGTCACTTCTTCCTATTTATTGGACTTGTTATTTTGGCGATTTTGCTGCAATTTTCTGTAAGCATGGAATTCTCTTGCGTTGCTGCTGGGTCGTTCCACCAGGGAGATCCCAGATTTACCGAGAGCAACAACGCTCAATGCATGGCAAATGCAACCTGTGCCCTCGCATGGCAAGCATTCTGCGGCGGATTCAGTACCAACGCTATTGACGCTATACTCATGGCGGGCGATAGCTTGTATACACTATCTCGCCGTGAGCATAGCATCACTAACCGGTATCTGTTCCCTGAGGACCTCGCCAGGCACTTCGTGGTTGCACACCATCGTGTTACCATCGAAGAAATTTCTTGTGTTTGGGACGGGTTGTATCCGTTACGAAACGATGGCCTAGATGAGGTGACCTCTTCCTTGTCTTCGGTTTTGGAAGCAGCTATGCCCGGTGACTCCGTTGATAGCGGTTTTTTGTTTACGGGACAGTTGGTGACAGTCGCTTTTTGGCGTTTCCAAGGGCGGCTGTACCTCTTTGATTCCCACGCGGTAAACGAAAACCGTCGTCGAGACATTGATGAGGCGAGAAATAAGGCTAGGGTGTTCGTCTGTAATAGTTTTCGTTCTCTAGCTTCCCTCATTTTGGTGAATTCTGCGTTCGTCGGTGGGCAGTACTCCGTCACAAAAATAAAGTTTTCCGTCAACGAAACTCAAACTGTCCACACGGTCGACTGTTCGGACAATGACTTAACTCAGTTATCAGAATCTGCCTCTGAGACAGTTGTTCAGAAAACCAAATGTCCTGGTAGACCAAAAACAATAAAGCGTGGTCGTCCAAAGCTTTTAGACACGACCCGAGAAGAGCAAGTGGATGCGGCGAAGAAGAAGTATAGGGAGACGCACGCTGACAAACTCCGGGATGACAGTCAACGTTACACTCAAACCCACCCTGAGGTGCACCGAAAGGCTGTTCAGCAATACGACCTGCATAATCCCGGTGCTTCTGCTGAGAGAGTTCAGATTTTTCGCCTGAAAAATCCGAAAATGTCTGAACTTCGCTATATGCCCGCATCACTTGCTCGGTCCGTAGTCAAAAATGGCCCCATGTCTGTTTGGAATGGGGAGCCACTCAATGAAATACAACCATACAAATTAAAAAAAGTCAGTCTCTGGGTTGACGACGTTTACAGATGTCGTCATTGCCAAGCACGGCTCTTCGAGGAGGAGAAGAATAGAAAGCAATGGTGCTGCGGGGAAGGAGCGTTCAATGTTCTCGACATTCCTCCGTTGCAAGAACGCTTTTATTCCGACCGTCTCTTCCTGGAAAGAGCCCGTGCGTACAACGACCTGTTTGCTTTCTGCGCGCTCGAAGTGTCAGGCGGGTATCGTCATCCCAGTGGTCTTTCTTTTTTCAAGATCGAGGGAAGAATGTACCACCAGGTCTACAATCTGGACGCCCCAGGACAAAAGTTCACCACTCGTTCTGGGAACGTTCAGTTTGTGAATCGGTCCCGCCTGTATATTGACGATGGCGAAGAGCGCCGTAACATTGCGATGGGTAGATCGCTTGATGCCGAGATCATCGACGGTATTGCTGATTTCCTGTCTAGGGAAAATCCTTACATTGAGCATTACCGTCGATTGAGCAACGAGCCTTCCGTAACAGCTCACTTGGCTTTTGAAGTAACAAGCAGGTCTACCCATGGCCCTGTTCTCGGTGATCGGCAAACAGGCGTCGAAGTGCACGCCGTGCTCAGCAATGATGAAAACGACACTGAGCCCCGGAGACTGACTATATGGAAATCCGGTTCCGATAGACCTACATTTATTGATCTTTTACACCCCCTAATGGAACCTTTCCAATATCCCCTACTTTACCCGCAAGGCACTGTGGGATGGCACGTTGGCCGCCTTGATAACAAGGGTGCCAAACTGACTCAATTTAAGTACTCGCGGTGCCTCCTACTTTCTGAACCTCGCTTCTCTCACCTAGGCCGTCTCTCACAAGCTTGGCAGGTTGAGATGTTCGCGAGGTACGAGGAGGAGAAACTGCGTTACATTAAGTTTACGCAGCTGAAGAACACCGATAGTGCCTTGCGGGTGGGGCCGGTTGACGAGATTCGGAATGCACAGCAGGTCTTGAACGACATCGCTCGTGATGAAACCGTCCAAGGCGAGGGTGGGGTGCAGGCAGGAAAAGTCTACCTCCCAAGTTCGTTCACCGGGGGGCCCAGGTACATGAAAGTAAAATACGAAGACGCTATGGCAATCGTATCGCGCCTGGGTTCCCCCACTTTCTTTTTGACGTTTACTTACAACGCGACTTGGGAGGAAAACAAGAAAGCTTGCCCTCGTGGAGGTACTCGCAGTGACCCTAGCACTGCTTGCAGAGTTTTTAGGATCAAACTTCTGGAACTTCTCCGAGACCTGCGCAGCGGAGCAATGTTTGGACGCTCTGTCTATATCGTCTACGTCATCGAGATGCAAATGAGGGGCCTTCCTCACGCCCACATTGTATTCAAGATTGACGGCGACGGACCAGTTCAGGCGTCCGAAATTGACTCCATCATCCGCGCGGATATTCCCTCGGAAGAAGAGGCCGGAGGCCGACTGAGAAAGTTGGTCCTCAAACACATGATCCACGGTCCATGTGGTAATGATCATAGGACTGACTTTCTCTGTTGGGACTCTGCAAAGGGTTACTGCACCAAATACTTCCCCAAGCCCTGCTGTGAAACCACCCACGTCGACGAGAGGGGATTCGTCCAGTACAAGCGAGATTATACCAATCGGGGGACAATTGTATCACGCAATAAGAACATTATCGTACATGACGGTTGGGTTGTGCCTTATAATCCCGCACTGATGTTGAAATACGAGGCTCACATCAATTTGGAGCTGGCGTCTACTCGCCGCGTGATTAAGTACCTCTTCAAATATCTTATGAAGGGAGGATCTCTCCAGAACGTCACAGTTACTCCCTTCAGTAAGCAAGATGATGAGGTACAGCATTACGTGACGAAGAGAATGGTGGGTGCCAGTGACGCGTGCTGGCGTTTATTAAACTTTCCAGTATCAGAATCTGAGCCGGCTGTTGAATGTCTTCCCGTCCATCTGGAGGGCAAGCAGTCCGTCCTGTTTAGACCTGGCCAACTGGCAGAGGCAGCCGCTAGGAACAGCTCCAAACTCACCATCTACTTTGACCGGCCTCGTATTTCACTGTTTGACGACCTGACTTATCAGGGGTTCTATGAAACGTTTGTGGTTCATGTCAAGCGCCCAAAAACTGCGGAGATATACGAGCACCCCGATGGCGTCCATTTTATCACTGCCCGACAGCGTGGCGAGAAGGTGTGCAGACTGTTTTGGGTCTCACCGAGCAGGACAGAACAGTATTACCTGCGTATCCTGCTTATGACTGTATCTTGCCGTGGTTATGCCGACCTCCTGTCCCGCGGTGGACCAAACTGCCGCACTTTTCAAGGGGTCGCGCGGCATCTTGGCTTGGTGCAAGACGAACAGGAGTACCACTACGCACTGCGCGAGGCCGCCACTTTCATGACTGGCCCGAGACTTCGTTCTTTCTTTGTGATCCTCTGCAACATGGGGGCTCCTGCAGCTCTCCTGTGGGATGCTTTCCGTGATTCCATCTGCGAGGACCACATAGAGCGTAATCCTCTCGATGTTGAACTGGCCTACAAGCTAGGTCTCATCGATATTGATCGGAGTCTTCGTCGGCAGGGTTCTTGCGTCGCAGATCATGGCCTCCCCGATGTACACGATGACACGACGGAGTTGGGCAGAGAACTGCTCTTACATGGTGAAAATCAACAGAGAGTGTTTGTGGAGGAGTGGGTGCCAAAGCTCTCTGAAGATCAAAACCGCGTATTTGAGTACGTTACCTCCGTTCTCAATGCCCCTGCCAGCGGAACGTCGTCGAAAATCATTTTTCTTGACGGCCCGGGAGGCTATGGGAAGACCACTCTGATTCGTGTCATTCTCGCATACGTGAGAGGTTGTCGTCAGGTTGCACTGGCAGTCGCTAGCTCTGGGATCGCCGCGGGTAACATGCCTGGTGGAACTACAGCTCACAGCATGTTCCGGTTGCCACTCGACTTCGGTGACGGCACCGGCTTTTGGAACATCACCAACGGCTCCCAGCGAGCAGAGCTCATCAGGGCCGCAAGGCTCATTGTCTTTGATGAGGCCCCGATGGCACATTGGTTCGTTTTCGAGGTTCTTGACAGATCCCTGCGAGACCTCATGCGTTCCAGTGAGCTATTCGGTGGTAAAATATTCCTCTGTTGTGGCGACTTTCGCCAGATCGCGCCTGTCGTTGTAAACGCTCGTACTCCAACTGACATTGTTTGTGTCTCACTTCGGGCTTCCCATCTGTGGCAGCATTTCAAAATTTTTGCCCTGACAACAGCTCATCGGACTAGTAGTTCCACAGCCTATTCCGAATTCCTTCTTAGGGTAGGCAACGGAACTGTCAGTTCGACCACTTTCTTGGAGGGACGGAACGAACAAAGTCTAATTCCGCTGCTCGGGATTAGACAAGTGACGTCTTTGACTGATTTGGTCGATTCCGTCTTTCCCGCAAACGTCCTACTCGACTCTGATATGTGTTCGCGACGCGCAATCCTCTCGACTCTGATAGTGAACGTCAAGGAGATCAACGACCACATCTTGAACTCCCTCGACGGTCATCTGTACGAGCTGAGGAGCGCCGACACAGTCGACAGAGAGAACGACGATGGCCTGGATGTCGACGTTCAACTCCTGAACACGGCTACTGGCAAGGGCGTACCAGACCATGTTCTGCGGCTGAAGATCGGTTCTGTTTGCCTCATTATGAGGAACCTCAACATCGCTGAAGGACTCGTCAACGGCACTAAAGTCATCGTAATCGGCATCACCAACCGCCTGATTACAGTGAGACTTCCCGGACAGACGCAACCTATCGGAATTCCCCGGATTACCTTTACTTTTGCGTTTGTCGAGGGTTCGCCGTTACGTGTTCGTCGACGTCAGTTCCCACTGATGTTGGCCTATTGCATGACCGGACACAAGAGCCAAGGTCAGACAATAGATTCAGTCGGTGTTGATTTACGGACCGATTGCTTCACGCACGGGCAACTATACGTCTTGCTCAGTAGGGTCAGACATCCAGACCATATTGTTGTTCTCGTACACCCCGAACGTGTCCGAAATGGAATCGCATACGCAAAGTACATCGTGTATGGCGATCTCCTTCTCTAAACCTGATTTGACATTAGCAGTAGGCTAGGGGATCTGCTTAATCAAAACTCCCCGTTGTGACTTGACAACATCGGCAGTACGATAGGGGGCCTGCCTTATCAAAAGTCCCCGTTGTTGTATAAAGTAGTTAGTAAAGTTTACTAACTTGTACATTTGTAAATAATTGTAAATATGGTTCCGACGTTTCCTGGCCTCCCCGTGGCGGAACTGGATATGCCATAAATTGTATGGCTAACCGACAGGGAAACAAACATTACTTGATCTATTTTCATAAATATATACATGAATATCTACAATAATCTATTTAATTCATATGATACTTTACTATTATCAACTTATTCACTTATCAATCGACATACTAATCAATCTACTCATCTTATACAACAGTTCTCTAATTTGTACATTTGTAAGTAATTGTAAATATGGTTCCAACGTTTCCTGGCCTCCTCGTGGCGGAACTGGATATGCCATACAGTTTGTGGCTAACTGACAGGGAAACAAACATTACTTAATCTATTTTCATAAATATATACGTCATGAATATCTACTATAATCTATTTTCTATTTACATCATATATACATGAATATCTAATATAATCTATTCACATCATATAATACTTTACTATTATCAACTTATTAACCTATCAATGAACATCAATATAAATTTACTTATCTTGTACAAAAGTTTACTAACTTGTACATATTCAAATAATTGCAAATATGGTTCCGACGTTTCCTGGCCTCCTCGTGGCGGAACTGGATATGCCATAAAGTTTATGGCTAACCGACAGGGAAACAAACCTTACTTAATCTATTTTCGTAATTATATACTTGAATATCTACTATAATCTATTTACTTCATATAATACTTTACTATTATCAACTTATTAACTTATCAATCTCCTCTAATAAATTCATGAAATCGTTATTACTTTAATGTCGATTTTTACTATAACGAACCCTTCTCTCCTCATATTATTACTTCCTTTGACCAAAAACTCAATTGTAAAAATACTTGACTAACATACTCACTTACCGCAACTTAAAAAATGATTTTTTTATGAGGTGTTCCTTAAGCTAGAAGTTATCTTACTCAAAGTTAACTTATATAACTTAATATTGACGGTTTCACTTCTTGCTTTGTTACAACTTAACTCTAATCTACTAATGACGACTAACAGCTAGGGGGCCTGGGGGCGGAGCCCCCAGCGAGCCAAAGGCGAGTGGAGGACATATACTATTGCTATTAAGTTTCCTGGTCCCGTACCAAATTTTGGACGATTTTTATTTATAAGATTCTTGGTTTTATAAGATTGGTGGTCAACACCCTGGATTAGAAAAGTTAAACTTAATTAGTTATGTGGATTTAAATTACCTGTTCTGCAGTCAACAGCTGAACTTGAAGCTTTAGGTTCATCAATCACGTCTCTCGATGGAAGTATGGGCAGACAGTAAGATGCTGAAATTTTTGTATCTGGGTTGAAATTCTCCAGCGTAACCCCTATAATCATCAAAGTGGATTGCTTGAAAGCATGATAGCACATATGCACAAGTATTGAGTCATATCAATCAAGATAGAAGGTTCACAACCAAATAAGGCTGTGAAATCATAATTTGTATTTAAATTATCTGTTTTAAAAGTAAAATTAAGTTACTCCACATTCCACTAAACAGTGTGGTGGGAGAAGGTTAGTGGGATTTCTATTGTTCGGCTGTTAATGATTTTTTTTTCAAAAATCAAGTCAACACGCAGATAGAAAGTTTCAAATGTCCTATAGAGGCGAAAGAATTTAAAGCTTTTGGATTCGGCAGTGTAGGATTTATTTTGCTTTCAAAGCTATAGGAATGATCCTAAATTCGGTACTCTGACTTTTTTTTAGTGTTCGTTCGAAGCTGTTGGATTTTAAAATAAATATTTTGGCTCTGTAACACAAACTTCTCATTTGGTACTGTAGGAATTTAAAATCCTACAATGCCGAACATGATAATGTATTCGACAAAATGGGACTAAAACATGATTCGGCACTATAGGATTCTCTGCTATGGCACCTTCTCAGTGTTATTAAGAGGCTAAATTCTATTCTAGCATGATTGCCTAGCTTAAAACAACATTACCTGTCCCACTATCTACTACCGAACTTGAGACTTCTGGTTCTTCGATTTCCACTTTCGCTTCAAGTTCTTCTTTACAATTTGGAGAATCATTAATAGCTGATGAACTATTGATAGATGTATCAGGATTTAAAGCATCAGTGGCATCACCTGAGAGAAGAAGTCTAAAGGTTAGAAGAATTTTCTGATAGGTACTAAATACTTTTTGAATAATAGGCGGTACTTAGGTATTATCGGAGACCACCCATATACGGCGCGCTTTGTGGCGGTTATTTTCAGTTGGGTTATTTTAAATATGTATGTAGAACTTTCCTCATTTTGTTATGAATCTAACGATACCAGATGAGTCATACTGGCGCCTCCCAAATCCCAACCCAAAGTCAGGTCATTGACCGGAGCACACGCATCACCTTTCACCGCCTTCTTGTATCTAGGTCAGTGTCGTGAGTGACTCATGTGGTATCGTTCGATTTATTACGTAACGAGTAAAGTCCTATGAACATATTTATTATAACTAAACCTAATATAACTGCCTCAAGCCCACTATATACCTACTTGGCGGAGTAAATGTGACAGCAAGCGGTGGCGACGCTTTCAACTCAATCCTAGCCTACATCGCTGCCTTCTAGGAGGCAGAACTAAAAGGTTGCTAATCGTAATCATGTCAATTAAAGTATGTTCTTTCCAATTATGTAGTTATTTTTGGTCTCCAGAATAAAATCCCTCTGAAATAAATGGCTTCCGGATAATACCAAAGTAGGCCTACCTAATAGGCTGAACTTGTAGGCAGCTTAGTATGCTTTGTAGATAGGAGTGATTGGGCATCCTTGTACATAGTACCGGTACCCCGATTTTATAACATTTTAGCTTAAAAAACAAACGTGACTGAGGGTATCATAACAGAATCAAAAAACAGAAATGTGATGCTGACATCTTGACACAAGAAACCACAAGGAGAGACAGCCAAACTCCTTTCAAAAAACTGACCCAAAAAGAGAGGCTTCCACCTATGACAGCAATAATACGAGGCGACCAGGAAACTTTGGATGACTTTTTCACTAAGAATATAGATTACTAAGATTACTTCAAAGATATAAATATCCAACACAAGGAAAGATTATCAGCCTCGATTAGTCACTCTGAAACCCCAGGCTTTAGAAGTACCTTGATCCCACCCCAAGTAGATACCAGCAACACCCAAACCTCTTTTTTAGGACCCTCAACCAAAACACCGGCAACAACATAACAAAATCTAAAAACAGTGTTGACAACCAATCAAAACACCCACTAGTTCGCAGACACCAGCTCACCCTTGCCCTAAACAACCAGACTTCATAGTTGTTACAGAACATGGTCTCTCCCGAGAAAACTTAGAAAAAACACAGCTAGCTGGCTACACCCTAATTGGAGGTTACACTTAAGAAATCATACAAAAGGGGGAGTTGCAGGATATGCCAAACATGGCCTGGAAAAGTATATGAAAGTACGGTACTTAAGATAAGTGATGACGACTCAGAACTAGTATGTGAAACTGCTCTTTGCGAAATAAAACTGAAAAAAGGAAATAGTCCAGGTCATGGGAGTCTACAGGCCTCCAAGGGACAATCTGGAACAAGCGATAGATAGGTATCTTAGCAAGCCAGCTGGAATATGCTCTCCGGTAATATACCTGCCCAGTAAAAATGACAAGGAAAACACAACACAACCCAAAAAATTGCTGGGATGCTGAATGCTCTAGACTTAAAAATCTATATATAAATGCCCTGGAAAAAGAAAACTGCACAGGTCTACCTGAAGATAAAGCAGAAACCGCAGCAAGAAAAAGGGACTATGACCTAAGACTAAAGACTTTGAGGAAAACAACATCCCACTATATAAGCAATGCCGACAACAAGTCCACGGCAATCTGGCAGGTTATAAATAATGAGAGACAATCAAGTACCAGTATAGCAAATGAGTGGGAACTCCTAGTAGATGGGGAGCCATTACAGGACCCAATTAAAATAGCAAACCACCTCAACAGTTTTTTTGCTACAGCTGCGGAAAAGACACTTCAGGCCAACAACACCAACACACACACCAGAACCCCCGAAATTCCTCCTTTAACAGATAACAAACTAAAATTTCAGCTTGCAACACGTAACGAAGTAATAAAAGCAATATACTCACTTAAGCCAAAAACTTCATCTAGCACTGATGAAATATCAGCCAAACTGGTCAAAACATGCAAAAACTGATTAACCCACTAACAGCACTCATCAACAGCACTAAGTCTCTCAAACAAAGGGTTTTCCCAACACAGCTGAAAACTGCCAAGGTATACCCTAAATATAAAAGTGGACCAAACACAGATGCTAAAAGTTACAGACCAGACCTTCTCTAAAATCTTTGAAACAATCGTCCTTAACAGACTAATATCCCATCTAGACCAAAATCTGCTGCTCACCAGCCAGCAACATGGCTTCCTTAAAGGAAGATCCACTTCCACTGCCTTTATACAGCTCACCGAGCACATAATAGAACAACTAGAAGATGGTTCCTCAGTCACAAGTCTGTTTCTGGACTTTAGCAAGGTCTTTGACTGCCTTAACCACAAGACACTTCTTAGAGAATTGGGAACTCTGGGTATTGAGGGATAGTCTAAACAATGGTTCCACAGCTATCTTAATGGCAGACAGCAACTAGTAGAAATTCAGCATGTAGAAAAAAACAATTGCCATAAAATACATTCCGAAACTGTCCCTATACGGAGAGGAGTACCACAGGGGTCAGTTCTCAGACCAGTCCTGTTCCTCCTCCTCACAAATGACCAAACAACGCTACAAGAATACTGCCAAACCACAATGTATGCAGATGACACTGTCATCACACTAACTGACAAATCAACAGAAACTTCAAACCGAAACATCAATATAGCCTTCAACATGACTAAACAATATTGCACAGTAAACGAATTGGCTCTAAATGAAAAGAAAACTGTTCAGCTGAACTACTCTACTAAAAATAAAGACACAAACGTATTAATCCCTGGGATAGAATCACAAAATAATACCAAATATCTCGGCATTATCATGGATTCAAAACTGATATGGAAACAGCACATTGACCAACTCTGCAAGAAGCTACGCTCTGGCATTCATGTCATCAGGCGAATGAAGCAGGTTGGTGGTCTGGACACCGCAAAAACAGCCTACCATGCCCTGGTCGAGTCACACCTCAGGTATGGTCTGGTGGTCTGGGGAAGTACATCCAACAACTATCTAAAAAGAGCCCTTGTCCACCAAAAAAAAGCTATAAGATGTCTAGCAGGCCTTCAATATCACATAGACATTCACCATCACAATACACGGAACGCCTCAAGCTTTACAATACCACCTCACCATCTAAGTCTCTTTGAAAAGAAGCCATCCTACAAAGGGGCCCTATATTTAAACAACCTACCAGAACAACTTAGAAATGAACCAACTCACTGTTTCAAGAACTAATTAACAACATGGCTGCAAGAAAGGCCATTCTACTCAGAAAAAGAATTCCTTGACAACCAGCTTTAACAACATATTAAATCCACAAATTTTAGTTATCATTCTGACGCATGTACTGTTCTCAACGAACATGTAAATAAAGATCATTGTCTATTGTCATAGGGCCTTCAATTTACTATTGTATCTAAAAAGATTTTTTGTTAGAGAGTAACAAGACCATGGTTTGAAGCTTTTGTTGTAAAAGAACAGGTATTGTGAAAGAAAAATAATTATGGACACAAGAGTTAAAAAAAAAACGCAGAATATAACACATAAGGGATATCCCTCTTGAACTGTTCTAGGGATAGAACGGCTTTTACGGCTCAATTCACAACAGTCTCCTGGTTTTATCCTGTAGTAATTACTAGAAGCTACTAACATGTAGATACAAATAACGGTCTTAAGTGTAGGTCCTTGGTAAAGTCTGTAACCTTGACTCTGTATTCACGAAAGCAGACTTGAGAGTCCAGCAGCAGTTGGTGATTTGCTTTATCTTAACATCTGCTGAGTCAACAAGTATTCAGCATTGAGCTCACAGCAAATATGAACTGAGTCGTTTGCCATAAGCAAATGGATCAATGGATCAAAGAAACCAGTTTGGACAATGCTTTAAGCGTAACTAAGTTGTTGATTTGTACCAATATGCGGATAGAAACCATCATTCTCATAGATAAGGGAGATTTCAACTTTAGGCCTAAAAATCATCAAGAATGTCTTTGCTGCTGTTAATCAACGGTAACAAGAGTTGTGCATAAAACTCGCATTGAGGGTAAAGATCTTAACTGGTTGAGGCAGATCTCCTTAACTCTGGGGTTTTCTAACTAGCCATAAAATATTGTCAATGTTTGCTGTCTAGTCCTCACTCCTTTAAACCGGGTTAATATGAAGCCAGTTGGCGGACAGGTTACCTGAAATACATTAGAGGTAAGTAATCTGCCCCGTAACCTGCCTGCTCTACTGGCCTAACTTAGTGTAAGCGCAGCTTTATAGTGCAGAAGTGTAGATAGATGCACTCAACAAAGATATAAATTGCCATCACTAAGTGTTTATACAAGAGTAGCGTGCGTAGGATACACGTGACGTCACCGCGACGACTCGTGACAGCCACATGCGCGCGCAACCCGAAATTCGGAGACGAGGGTCGAAGAGTGAGTCAGTCAGTAGTGTGTGGTAGCGGCCTGCAGTGGACTTCTTCGATCGGATGAGTAGCCTTAGCATGAGTAGATAATACAGTGTGTAAATTAAGTATGGAAACAAATCTGTATTTTTAAAACCGAAATAGATGGAAACATTCTATTTGTGGCAATAATAGTTAACAAAGATTCCGCAATTTTTCACATGAAAAATATTTTTTTACCCCCCTAACAGGGTAGGTGGTAGGGGGTGACTTATTTTTTTCAAATAGCAACCCCTATTGAGTGACCCCTCATTTTGAAGGGTTTGTCAAAAGAAACACAATGACGCAAATCCGAAGTGAATATCTCACTCCTAGCCCAAATGGCGGATATTCCAAAATTTGATTTATTGTACGTGAAAAGCACCAATTTCACAAATAATGGAAAGAAATCTGTATTTTTAAAACCAAAATAGATAGAAATATTCTGTTTGTGGAATTGATTGTTGACATAGGTTCCGCAATTTTTTTAATTAACAATATTTTTCAACCCCTTTAACAGGGTAGGGGGTGGGAGTGACTTATTTTTTTCAACAACAACCCCTATTGAGTGACCCCTCATTTTGAAGGGTTTGTTAAAAGAAAAATAATGACGCAAACCCGAGGTAGATATTTCACCCCTAGCCTAAATGGTGGGTAATGAAAAATTTAATTTTTGTAAAAAAAAGCCCATTTTGGAATATCCGCCATGTTAGCTAGGAGTGAGATATTCACCTCGGATTTGCGTCATTGTGTTTCTTTTGACAAACCCTTCAAAATGAGGGGTCACTCAATAGGGGTTGCTATTTGAAAAAAATAAGTCACCCCCTACCACCTACCCTGTTAGGGGGGTAAAAAAATATTTTTCATGTGAAAAATTGCGGAATCTTTGTTAACTATTATTGCCACAAATAGAATGTTTCCATCTATTTCGGTTTTAAAAATACAGATTTGTTTCCATACTTAATTTACACACTGTATACTAGGTAGTAGGGGTTGTTAGGTTCATTTCAGTATGGTTTGAGCAATGACGAGAAATGTCGGTGATTGGTGGAAGATATATTGGGCGAGGTAATTTGATTAACACTCACACAACCATATTTCGCTCCATAAGTGCACATCTCCTGATAAAACTTGCAGATGTCAAATACATTGCCTATGGTAGTTTTTTTTTAATCGCAACATTGTTTCAAGGACAAATCTGACTAGTATAAAAGATGTATTGTGTGAATCATCAACTTTACAAAAACTAACTTGATTTTTAAATCAGAAAAATTGTAGGCCTACCTATTTTACTTTCACCAATAAAACTTGAGTCTTTTGGTTTTTCATTCTTTTCTTTGTTTTGAGGCTCACTTCTACAATCAATTGGATTTTCCTCTGTTCCCAAGGGACCGTTGACATCTGCTGTTTTCTCCGCCATTATCTAAAAAAGTAAACCAAACGATTATACAAGGGCCCTAAATTAAGGTATCCTTCAAGGTCCTCTTGCAGTTTGTTAAAATCTCAAATTATAGGCTAAATGTGTTTTTTGCCTCGCACAAAACAGTTGTTGTAACTAGAATAGGTTTTTACTACAGTACTTATTCTAGCCGGAAATAGAGTTTTAAGACTTTTTATATCAACTTTTGCAGAATGAAGCATGCCCTAAAAGAAACATATAGATCCAGATGAATCTCATAAAATCAATCTGAAATTGGGGAATCTTAGTACGGGTGGGATTCTTAGGAGTGAGCGATTTTAACTTAACTAAGTATTAAAGCAAAGCAATATCAGCACTAGTACTAGTAGTAGTAGACAAATTAGTACTTTTTTAAACAGTTTTAAATATAATAATAATATCTATAGTTCTTACCGTCAACGCAATCAGGGGTAATATTCCACTACGGCCGTTTCGGAGATGACTCCATCGTCAGGTGCGTAGTGGTACACTAAACTATAGTCTTGTCACATGTAACACGATTTGTCTTCATTTGCATTGCGTCAGGGGTTGAATAAATAATACACATATATTTATTCAACCCCTGACGCAATGCAAATGAAGACAATTCGTGTTACATGTGACAAGACTATAGTTTAGTGTATTACTACGGACCTGACGATGGAGTCATCTCCGAAACGGCCGTAGTGGAATATTACCCCTGATTGCCTTGACGGTAAAAACCATAGATATTATTATTATATTTTCACGCAATCTGCCACACTCAAGAATATAAAGTTTTAAATAGTAGTAGTAATATTTTTAACATTTGTGTCAGCGGCATCCTAAATAACGTAAGTTGCATTGAAGTTATGCTCAACTAACTTGTACTAAGAATTTTATCCGTGATTTTAGTGCTAGCTCTTAACAGTCACTTCTTGAAGAAATATTTTAAGGTAGGTACACTACAAGACAACTGATGATCAGAATACTAAATCTTTAATCTCTTACACCTGTTTATTGAATTGTTTTAATCCTGCTCCTGTGCACCATCAGAGGTTAAATCGATACTGATGAGAAGTCTCTTCTTTGGAATCATCTCAAGCTCATTATCCTTTTTTGAAGGACCTAACCTAAACAAAGCAAGTTAAAACTTTATTTAAATAGGCTTGGCGAATATCATGTTTATCATGCAACTGTCTTTTCCAAATTCCAATGCATAACAAATATAACTTAAGCTAAAGTTAGGCTATTGCTTTTCTATTGGTGTTGCTTACCCTAAATAAGTTTTACCGTACTGTCATTATTTTCATCCAAAGAATCTGATCTAACATAACTACTGGAATTGCAGTTAGGCCGAAACTGGCTGTAAGTTAATGAAATGAAATGAATGAATGAAAAAGTGCTTTATTAACACAAAAATAAACTGCATAAATACATATGAACTTATAACTAAACATAATCTTCTGCATAACAACAACAAAATTACTAAAAACAGCACATTACAGCAATGGTCATAAGACCGTCTGCCGGGTTGACAACATTTTATTTTATACAACTAAAAATGTGAAATATTTGTAATAAGCTATAATATGTATATTGTTTTGCTGCTAGACATTGAATTCTAAAACCAAATCCCACCTATACTTCCAAGCCTCTTTAAGAAAATTTGCAAGCGAACGCCAATCCTTACCATTAAGAAAATCTATAAACTCTGAGCGAGTTAAAACAGGTTTCAATAGCCATTTATTTCTAATTTGTGTTAAAGTTGGACAACGAGCAACAAAATGATAAGTGTCCTCATTCTCATTTAGATTACACAAAGAGCATATAAAATTAGCGTCTGTCATCCAAGGTTTAAAATTTAAGGAAATAGTCTCTGTCCTTACTTTGAATACCCATCGTCTAACAATATCAGGAACGTTATCTGATAGATATCCATTATCTCCAAGGTCAAGATTCAGTGAAGCATAAGTTGTGTGGTATCGTGAGGCCAATGCCGCCTGGACTAACCCCCGCCTGCTCTCCCCCCTTACTGCCTCTACTACTGATAACAGGTGTCGATGGGTATCCTCAATGGAATTCACATCAAAGGACAATTCAATTCCATGTTTACTTCCAAGACCCTTCCAATCTCTGCTCCAATAAATATTTTCGCTGATTATTTTCTTTGCTAATTTATTTGGTAGACGGTTCAGCGGCAGTGACAGAGCATGTATGATGTAACGAGCATGCATGCTGAGTGTATAAATGTACTCTTTTTCTAGTCCAGTTTCGAGATACAATGCATAGTTGGGAGTATTTTTTGCCAATCCTAAAATTTTCTTTACAAAATAACAAAGAGTCCCATCTACATAATCACTTTCCCATAAACCCCATATTTGACACCCATAACAAAGAGTTGATCTGACAATTGAAAAATAAATAGTGAATTTTTTACTTAAAGGTACATTTTTGTTATTTAGAAATGTATTCCAAATACTGTTAATTGCTAATTTTGAAGAGCTGCACTTGTGTTTTAAATGCAAACCCCAGGATAGTTTAGAATTTAAGTTTATTCCCAAATATTTATAATCATTAACCACATCGATTCTTTCACCTCGAAAATACCATTTGTCATTTTTCCTCAGTTTCCCTCCTTTCCTAAAAACCATAATCTTTGACTTACTTAAATTCACAGTCAAGTTCCATTGTTGACAATATCTCTCAAGGTCATTTATCATTAACTGCAGACTGGTTCCCGTCGGAGCCATCAACACAATGTCGTCAGCATATAACAAAGCCTTAATTTGAACATCTCCAAAAATGCAGCCTCCACTTAATGAATCTATAATGTCATTTACAAATAAGTTAAAACATAAAGGACTCAAAACATCTCCTTGTTTTAGACCGAGGCCTGTTTCAAAGTAGTCTGTTATTCCATCTTTACACCAGACAGCTGACGAAGTACCATTATATAAATCCATTAAAACGCGTAACATATGCGTAGAAATACCAAGACATGATAACTTATAAAACAAAGCATTTCTATCTATTGTATCGAAAGCTGCAGTAAAATCTACAAAAAAAGTATATAATTTACCCTTTTTTTTACTGAGACACAATTTTGCAGCATTTGAAAGAATAAAAACATTATCAATTGTCGAATAGCCACTCCTGAAACCAGCCTGATATTCACACAGCTTATCATGATCTGTTATCCAAAGATTTAATCTGTTGTGCAGTAAACTAGTGTATAACTTAGCTACGCAATCTATAAATGATAAACCCCTATAATTTTGTGCAATGTTTTTATCACCATTCTTAAACAGAGGATAGATAATTGATTGTTTAAAACTTTTCGGTACTTTATTAGTTTTGAAAATATTGTTATAAAAATTCAGCAACTTAACTAAAAATGACTCTGAACCATTTTTAAAGAACTCGTAGGGTATTCCGTCAGCTCCTGGTGCCTTACCATTCTTTACTTTCAATAAAACTGTTTTTAATTCGTTCAAATTAAATTCTTTATCTAGAAAGTCGTCTTGAATGAGAGGAAGCGCATAACAGACATTGGCTGACAGCAGGGGCGGGTTCAAGAGACTCTTAAAGTGTTCTAACCATTCGTTTGGGCTGACTTGACCACCTGTATTAGGACTTTGAATCTTAAAACTATTTATAAGTTTCCATAAACATTTACTGTCTTTAGCCTGAGTCAAAGATAAATACATATTGTCAAAGTAAGCAGTTTTTTTTGCTTTAAGTAAATTTTTTAATGATCTGTTGGCCTCAATATATTCATTTTTTATCTCAATTTCATCGCTTTTTCTGTACTTTCTCAATAGTTTAAACACATTGTGCCTAGCTTTAGCGCACTGTAAGTCAAACCATGGCTGTTTCCTTGCAAACTTGAAAGAGTTATTTGTATTTGACTTTACTTGTTTAACATGAGCTGACTCTGTAATGCATTGAATGAGGCTCTTAACATTTCTTTCCTCGTCTATGTCCAATTGCAAATTTAAAGCAGCAGTGTGTATTCTTTCCTTAAAATTAAAATCATCAAAATTGGTCCACTTTAATCTTGGAAGTAAAGATAAAACTTGTCCCTCGACTCTGGAATCTAATTCTTTCCTTATCTTAAGAGTTAATTGTATTGGCAAGTGATCTGACCCAATGTACTCTATTATCTTAAAATCACTAACTATTTGTAAACAATGAATTGAAACAAGTGCTAAGTCTATCACTGACGCTCCCAATTTATTTACAAAAGTAAATTCGCCCTTAGAATCACACTTTGTTCTCCCATTCAGTACAAGTAATCCAAAATCATCACACATTTCTAAAATTTTTTTCCCATTTACATTTAAAACTGTATCTTTTGACTTTCGATCATAATTTAGGCATGCATTGGTCAGTATATTAGTATCTTCAGTAATGTTTTGCTCACTAGAAATTCGACTGTTTAGATCTCTAATTACGATTAAATTTTTACCATTGTTACCATGGATTATTTCATACAAATTTTTGAAATCATTTTCCCAAGTGCTATAATTCAAATAAATTGGCAAAATAATAAATTCTCTATTATAGTTTTCTTCCAGTAACTTAAAAGCAGTTATATTTCTAAAATATTCAAACTTAATATTATTGAAGAATTTTGACTGTTTATTTATTCCTAAAACTATACCACCTGACTGTCTACCTAGTGTTGCATTTCTTACTGCAAATTTAAAATCTATCTTAAAGTTAACTAGTCTTTTTAAAACTAAATCATGTTGCTCGTAAGTTAACTTAACTGCTTAAGAGGAATTGGCCATATGTAGCGTGATCTTTGATGATCAGATTTGCTGCAAGCAATGCCAACAAACCAAATTTAACAACAAATATAAATTGTTATTAGCCTGGTAAATGCTTTCATTAGGCCTAGGCCTAGGCTATGTCTATATGTAACTTCTTAATGCAATGATTCTAGAGTTTTCCAGCATCTTGTACAGAGTTAATTGTTGTTACTGAGCTCCTGAGTGGGATAAAAAATTTAACTTAATTTAAAAAAAGGGAGGTAGGCTACATCATAATGGGTTTACAACAATTGTTCAAGCCGCAGGGTCACAGGCAATAAGTTAGCCTAGGCCTGGTAGGCAATTTAACCTTCACAGGTCACTTAGAGCAGCATTTTGTATTTAGTCAGATTGAGGGAAGACCAACCAATAGAAATCTGTTTCATAACTTAATAATTCAAGAGGAAATCTATTAAGCCCCCCATACACGGGCGAGCATGTTCGCGAGCATGTTGGCGAACACGTTCGCGAACATGCTCGGCGTTGGCAACAGACGGACGAGCAAGCTCGCGAACATGCTTGGCGTTTCCAAGAGACGGACGAGCATGCTCGCGAACATGTTCGAAAACATGCTCGTCGCTCGGTAGCGGTTCCTAGGCCTATTCTTGCTTTTCTTGTGCTCTGTGACAGTCAAGTTGTGTGTAGGCCTATTTAGCCTACTCCTGATTTTTTGCTGCAATTACAGCATTTAGTTTTTTTTTTGCAACATACGCATTATTTCTTAGACATAAATCAGGGGCGATTTATTTTTAGCCGATTTTGTAATCGGCCGATCTAAAAATAGACCGTTTGTGCCAGGCCTTAAGTTATCGGATTAAATTCATTCGTCATGGTTTGAAAAGAATGTTGGTTAAAATTCCATAGTTGTGCAATCCTAACATTTCTCGTAGTTTTGCTTATTCTAGCCTTTCTTAGAATTATTTAATGGTGACAAATTACTACAGAATTGATTGTACACATTTGTGTAGTAATATACATATTGTAATTGATAAACCCTCTATTTTGGAAACTTATTTAAATTTGTATTTATTGCGTTACAAACAAAAATATATATTTATTTAGCTTCTGTAAACATTGATTCTAAATCTATTACTGTAATAAAGGCGGTAACGAAGTAATCGTTTGGAACCGGAACGGTTACTTGTAATGTGTCCACGAGTGTAACTGGAATCATAGTAGCGGCTACATGGATGGAATCATTTGCATATCTCTACCCAAGTCGCAGCGGCGAACATGCTCTCGAACATATGGTCGTCCCCACAGACGGGCGAGCATGTTCGTTTTCGGGCTCGTCAAGTCCGACGAGCCGAGCGCCGAGCCCAACATGCTCGCCACGACGGATCCCACACATGGGCGAGCATGTTCGTCGCCAACACCATCACGAGCATGCTCGCGAACATGCTCGCCCGTGTATGGGGGGCTTTAGATGGGGTACAGTTTCTTAACTGGGCTATTATAAGTTAATATCGATTTAAACTATCGATTCGATTAGATAACCTTCATGTGATTGTTTTCATTATCAGCAAGTTTGGTTAGGTTAGGCCTATGACAGACTCATTTTATAATAGGCTAGATATAAGTTAGGCCTACTTCAATTTGATAATTAGTTTCAATCGACATTAGCATAGCCTAGTTATGAAACTGTGCCCCTTAGATGGAGTATGCTAATAGATTAAGCTTACTACGTTTCACTCTACAGTAATACAAAATAATGTAACAACACATTCGGAGAGTTTCCTAATAGGCTAGGCCTATGCTTAACAACTTAGGCCTATTATAGGGCAGTAAGTTTTAGTAAATCACACTGTCATCTTACTCACTCATCTTAAAAGGGGACTCGTTCGCCTCAATCCATTATAGTCACAATCATGTAAGAAAAAGAAAATAATAAAACATTAATTTATTTCTTGTAGTTTGTTATTATTATTGTTCGAAGAATGTTCCAACACCAACCAACAACCAACAACCGAACAACCAGTTCGATTCGACCTCCGGCCAGTGTTTCCATTCGCAAGAAAAAAATATCCCTGGGCCGACGTCAAAAAATCCCTAGTTATCCCTAGTCCGTGTTCTAACAATCCCTCCAATTATCCCTCTTCATCAAATCTAGATAACTTATTATTTTTGCAGCAATACCAATGGATATCATGTATAGCCACCTAAAATATGGTAACTGGTGATAGTATTCTTCAATATCCCATATTATTTATAAAGTAATACTATATAAAAAACATTTTTGTCCATTTAAACCACGGCCATCTTTAACTCCAGGCAGGCCGCGGCCTGGTAGAATTGGCAACGTTGCAAGTACCGTATTATTGTTTAGCGCAAGACGTCCTATAAGTTAACATGGAAATAAAACATAATATAGAATCGAAAACCAAAGCAATATAAATTGAAAATCTATTTCTGTACATTCAATGTGGAGTCAACATTTTCATAGCCCAGTAACCAAGCTTTCGTATTCTTAAAAATTACATAAATACCATTAGCTTAGCAATCTCCAAACACCTTTTACAACACTATACTTGCAACGTTGCCACTTCGAAGGCCGCGGCCTCCGTCCTGGAATTAAAGGTAGCCGTGATTAAAAACTGTCTATGTTGTAAAAAACAAGATTAATTAACTAGAAAATGAAACAAATAATTATTTTTAAAATTTTATAAACTAATACATTTTATTTATAAGTCTTTACAATTGTTTCAAAAATATTACTCAAGTGTCCAAATTTAAAACTTAAATTGTCTTTTTCAAACATGGCCACCATGCCTTGGTGAAAAGGTTACACCAAGTTACTTACTAGCCAAAAAAACATCACAGAAATCACCGGCAAACAAAATCAAAACGAAAACAAACATTCGACATAGACACAGGGCACAGGGCTTTAGAGTACTAAAAGAAACAAATCACAGTAATCTAGATCCACCGAATTCCATTCCACCGACCGACTCCAGCCACTGAGCTATAATTCTAACTGGAGGTAGCACTGAATGTCAAAGATGCGTGTCGCCAGCCGCCATGTTTGCGTGAGGTGTGAGTTTATAAGGAGCCATGTTATTGGATAAAAAAACTCACTGCTATGTAACCTAGTTATAGAAGCCATGTTATTGCTATGATAAGAAAACTCGCTGCTATACCAACCTAACAAAATCAGCGACACGCTTTTGACAGACTTCTGCCATGGCAGTGCTACCTCCAGTTATAATTTTAGCTCAGTGACTCCAGCCCTTTGCTTGTTTCGTGCAGTGTTGGCTGTTCCCAGCTGTTACTCTTCCCCTTGTGTGTTCCGACTTTGAAACACTACGTCACTACCACTACCTACAACCATAGATAAAACATACTCTTTGAGGACTGAGGAGTATCTTTTATCTATGCTACAATCGATTTGTTTGTTACCAAAACCAAAACCTAGGGAAAAGTAGTATAATCAATGTGTTATCAATACCTTGCAAAATTAGCCAAAATAGGTCCTTAACGTTGTTGAAATATAGCCATAATGTATTATTTTATCAATATTTCAATTTTATATTGTCAAAGGCCTGAAATCCCTAGAAAATCTAAAAAATCCTTCAATTTCGCTGATTATCCCTAGTTATCCCTCAATCCCTTTTCAATCCCTCGAAGGCCCTAAATATCCCTAGAAAGGGATTTTTATCCCTCAAATGGAAACACTGCCTCCGGCCTCCAACCATTCGGTTGTCTTTGTCTTTGTCTTATTCTTTTTTCTTATTTGCTTACACATAGCTAGTTTGGTTAATTTACCATGTAGCTGCATTATTTCAACTTAGGTAGGTATATCACAACTGTAAATAAATGACCATTTTGAAGAGATTCAGGCTGGTGTGTTTAGAGTTAAAAGTGGCCGTGGCTCAGCCACGGCATAGACTAACCAACACAAATTCGTTCATCAGATGGAAGAATCATCGACGACAACAAACTAGTACCTACCATAAAACCATAGACTAGCCAAGGTATCTATGATAAAACATAGTCCCTTAGTAGATTTCTCATCCTTGTGGAACGGTATCTATGATAAAACATACTAGTACTAAATGAAAACAAAACATCAGTTTTAAATTTTTACAACACGAATGCAGCTGACCATAGCCCTCTCTTAAAATTAAAAAATCAAAACATAAAAATAATGATAACATAAACTATCTTGAAATCAAAATAAGCAATAACCTTTGATGGAATATACATATTGATCATATAACCTCAAGACTTGTGGTAGTATGCTGTCTTATGCGCAGACTACAAAATATAGTGGATCATCATATCCTGATGAAAGTTTATTATGACTGCTTTCATAGCGTATTGAGTTATGGCATCGTACTTTGGGGCGGTGGGGCACACGGAAGATTTCTCAGGTGCCGTTTGATGTCACTAACTGCTGACGTCACTAACTGCTGCGTCTGAGGAAACAGACAATTTTATAATTTTTTATTATTAAATTAAACTGTCATAACCTAACCAAAACCAACCAAACGTGCTGATAATGGACAAATCGAATGAAGGTTTACTAATCTAAAAAATAGTTTTGTTCATAAAATAAAATTATAAATGCCTACAATTCAATTTTTAATTTTTTAATTATAAAATAAACTGTCATAACCTAACCAAACTTGCTGATATGAAAAAAATTGTTGACAAAAATTTAATGCTACCAGCGAGATTCGAACCCGGTACATTCGGATTATCAGCCCGTAACGCTATCCACTTTACCACCGAGGCCGATGGCTTAAAGCCGTATCGTTGCGGTAATGGTGTTCCCTCAAAGTGACGTCAGCAGTTAGTGACGTCAAACGGCACCTGAGAAATCTTCCGTGTGCCGTCTCGCTAGCAGTGAAGCAAACAGAGCCTTTCTACTACAAAAGAGAATTAATAGAATAATATGTAAAACCCATTTTTTAGAACATTGCAGACCAAGGTTTATTAATCTTAAAGTTCCCACCCTTACCTCCGTTTATATATTGGAATCCGCTATGATGATATGGAAATTTCCGGAAGTCTTCAAACGCAACCACGAAATACATAATTATAACACCAGGCAACAAAACCCTATACACCTGAATTAATTGTCACCGAACATCATTAATAGCTGGTAATAGCTGGACCACATCACTCAGCAAGTAAAATATTTAATAAATTGCCAGAAGACATAAGAAGCTGTCAAGAAAAAAATTGATTCAAGAAAAAACTCAAAAATTACTTAATAGAAAAGGCCTACTACAAATTGGAAGAATTTTTGGAGGATTAAGAGAAGATAGGCCCTACCTGAAAATTAAACACCTTTGACGACAATGGCTGGAAAGCTACTAGTGGGATCATCACAAGTATACAAGTAAGTATACAAATGAATAAAATAAACCCTTCCAGTCTGACTATTCTTAATAGGTTTGTATATTATTGCCAATATTAAGGAAGAATGTTTTATCTGATGATTTATCTGATGATTCTGACTGACCTTTGATGTTCAAGTTCAAATAAATTATTGACTATAAACAATGATTTATATGACAGAAAATAATTGGGAAATTGGTAAAAATATCTATTTCTTTCCCTTGAGGTATTCTCTGATTTTATAGAATCAATTAATTTATTGAATACTGTTCCTGCAAGAAGAATTTCCCGTCGAAATTTTGAAAAAAAGATTAAGGATACCCGGTAAACCCATAGTATTGATTATAAATCTTCCAAGACCTGCAGTGTAATTTGATGTTTAAACCATATAGGACTTTTTACTTGACAATTAGCCTTAAACTTTTAAGACTACGCATTTGTTTTTATCGCAGGTGGATTCACGAACCCAGAGAGGACAGTATGGAACCCGCAATAAATAACTACACTCCTTCAGACCTCGGCGACCCAGTCCGGAACCCTTGGATGACTTTATGCCTGGGCCGCATGACTTGTTGCAACCTCATGAATAAACCAGAATCTTTACTGAGGCACGCCTCGTTCGTGCAAAGATCTACCTATGTGAATGTAGGGGGAACTGCACTATACTCAACCTCGCCTCAAAGTATCACTCCTATACGAGTATACGATGATAACTGCACTGCAGAAGCATGTAGTCGCATTTTTTCAATGAGGGGTCCGCACTCAGGTAAACATAACTTCCCTCCTCCTGACAGTACAAGCACAGCGATTATACCTTACCTTTTTGGGTGGAACCATTTTTTTAAGTAACTTCCTTTTGAATACAAATCAATAAATTATTCCCTACGTTTTTTGGCACTCATTCATGGGGGTGTTGTGGGATTGTAGGTGATTTCATGGTACCTTTTTGTTTTAATCACATAACTATAGTTCGACCGCTTAGAAAACGACCTGCGCGCTAATGCTAAACCAATGCTGGAGGAGGTTGCTTTCTAAGCGGCCGAACTATAGGTAGCTGAAAGATTGATCGTTACATCGCTTAAAAATTAAAAGATTTATTGATCACAGTAAATGAATAAATCTTTAACTCTACTGCTGGGTGGGGAAAGAATTGAAGTATTTTTAGAGGGCAGAGCTTCGGTTCTTATTAAGGGTCACGTGTTTTGGGCTAGAGTCTTGCGTCCTAGGAGAGTATATCGTAAAAAATCCCAATGAGAGTAAAATAATTAAAGTTATCAAAATCAAGCTCCAACGTTACCTATTGGAAATTTCTGTTGTCTTATAGGTCTAAAACTAATCAATAAAAAATTGAAAATTTTTAGTTTACACGTGCGTTATTTATAAAACAAATGTATTACTTAGACGAGCTGTATGTCGTGAGGTAAACACGATGATAATTTTCGCCATCTCGGTCACCAGTAAACTGTTTGTGACAAGTTTGTCGAGGGAAATGGAACGGAAAAGACACTGTCTGAGGCTGATTTATCAAACCTTCTTGAAAACTCACAAACTGAACTTGGTTTGTAGATGGTCATCATTGTTAATTTAATGACCATTGATGGGAAGTTTGCA